AATAATTGAATTATTATACTGCGGGTCTAATAATATTCGTCCGCTATAAGATTTGCTTTTTATTTTATTTTATTCCATTTTAATCTATTCTAGTTCATTCTATTTTACTCTAGTTTATACCACTTTGCTCCATTTTATTCTAATTTATTTTAATTTATTTTGCTCCATTTTATTCTTATTTAAACTAGTCTCTTCTACTTTATTCAAATTTATTTTATTTTTCTCTATTGTATTCTATTTTCCTCTATTTTATTTTATTTTCCATTATTTAATTTTGTTTTATTTTATTCTATTTTACAAAATTCTATTTGTTATTTCGACAAAGTATATTAAAATTGATAAAAACACAATTACCAACCTACTAATTTAAACAACTAAGTTTACTTTTCATAATGAAAAGAGAGTATTATGAAACTGGGTGTGACACGAAGTGTACTTTAGTCTAAAATGAACATCAGTTACGGTTTAGTTTAGGTTATCATTTCATATAGTTATCATACACTTCTTTTTTTAAAATAATTTTATATAAATATATTATAGGATTTTTACAATTATTAGTTCAAAATTGTATTAATGTGCGACAAAAGGAGTTATTAGAAAAATATTTTAAGTTGAACTTTAATATTTATACTTTGGAGAAGATTTATAAATTAGCACATAATAAATATGGCTTTTTGCGAAATAGTAGTTATAGTAAACAACTGGAAGAGTTCATTTACGTGACGAGGAGTGACCGTTAGACAGCATGTAAACTTTTAGTTTTATTACAATCTATACAAATTATAAATCACACATACACAGTCATTTAGACCAAAATTAACGATATGCAAAGACAAGGACGGAGAACTACTAACAGAGAAGCAAAAAATTATAATGAGATGGAAACAATATTTCGAAGAAAATCTAAATGCAGACAACGAAAATGATCAGAACGAGACAATATATTATACGGCGGAGCTGCACATCGAAAATCCGAGTTATGAAGAAGTAGTTCAGATAATAAATAAACTAAAAAACAATAAAGCACCAGGAACGGACAGAATTTCGGCAGAATTATTAAAGCATGGAGGATCCGAACTCTGGGAAAGAATCCAATACCTAATAACATTAATATGGGCGAATGAGCGAATGCCAGAGGAATGGACAGCCAATATATAAAAAAGGAGATAAGAGGGAATGCCAGAATTATAGGCTAATTACATTGCTAAATGTAATATACAAAATTCTTTCTGGTATAATCTACAATAGATTATTAGAATACTCCGAAAATATAATTGGTGATTATAAAAATGGATTCAGACCAAATACAGCCATTACAGATAACATATTCATACTAAGAACGATACAAGAAAAAGCTTATGAATACGACATAGACCTATATAATATGTATATAGACTTTAAACAAGCTTTTGATAGTGTGAAAAGAGACAGAATGCTGGAAGACCTTTGTAATCTAGGTATACCTAAGAAATACATCAGCCTAATAAAAATGACGTTGCAGGGTTCAAAAGCCACAGTCAGAGTAGATGGGGAACTGACTCCCCTGTTTAACATCAATATGGGAGTAAGACGGGGAGATGCCCTATCAACCATGCTATTCAACCTAGTTCTTGAGGCAGTCATCAGAAAAACCAATATAACCGGCCATTAAACACCAAATCAGTACAAATTACTGCATATGCAGACGATGTAGCCATCATTAGTAGGAATAAGCCACGACTAATGGAAGTGTTCAAACAAATTGAACCTGAAGCAAGAAAAAGAGGTCTCAAAATAAACGAAGCAAAAACGAAGTATATGACAGTCAAAAGAATAACTGACAATGAAAATAATATCACAATAGACAACTATAGTATCGAACGAGTGGATACCTTTACATATCTCGGCACAGAAATCAATCAGAAGAACTCCGTAAGTAGCGAAATTAATGCACGTATTTCCAGCGGGAATCGTACATACTATGCTAATAAAAGATTGATGACATCGAAATTATTAGACAAAAGAACCAAAATGACTATCTACAGAACACTGATTAGACCCGTAGCAACCTATGGATGTGAAACTTGGGTAATGACGAAAAAAGATGAAGCCCAACTCAGGACATTCGAGAGAAAAATACTGAGGAAAGTATATGGCCCGGTACAAGAGGAAGATGGCACATGGAGAATCAGGAGAAACGATGAGGTTAATGAGTTAAATGAAGGTTATGACATTGTAAGATTTGTGAAAAGTCAAAGACTGTCATGGCTGGGACATGCGCAGAGACAAAATGATGCAAAAACAACAAAGAAAATGTTACATAAGACAATGGAGAAGGGCACAAGAGAGATCTGAATGGAAGGACATAGCCAGACAGGCAAAGACCCATCCAGGGTTATGATGCCAAAAGAAGAAGAAGAAGAAGTAAACAACTGGAAGAGTCCATTTACGTGACGAGGAGTGACCGTTAGACAGCATGTAAACTTTTAATTTTATTAAAATCTATACAAATAATAAATAAATAATGAAATTACTTTATTCACTTTTAAACATATTATTTAAATTTTAAAAATACAGAAAACATAGAATTGTTTCGCGCTAGTCTACAGTACAGTCTACTGTACCAGTTTTTTTGTTTTTATCCTTATATGTATTACCTCTTCATATGTTTTGTTTAATTTGTTCTTCTACCGTCTTCTTCCATCCATTAAGTATCGAATCTCATTGGTCATCCACATTTTTTAGTTGTTTTTGCATTCTTTGACGTTTTCTTCAGATTTGTGAATTCAATTCCAATTCGAAACGCATGATGGCAAATAGAGAGAGAGAGAGAGAGAGAGAGAGAAAGAGAGAGAGAGAGAGAGAGATAAAGAGTTAGGGGTTAGTTGCTTTAAAAAAACTCTGCCCGCAGCACAAAGCAAATTATGGTAAAATTTTTTTTTAGGTTTCTGGTTCTTGTCCTTGGCAGAAATTATGATAGTTCTTATTTTACACAATTCTCGTGAAACAAGTACCTTACTGACAGAACGGTAGTCTCAAATTTATCAAAAGTGGTTTATGATACTAATCATCATTTCATATCTTCTCTTAATGCAGCATTCCTTGTGCAATTGGTTACTTCGAAATAGACAAGCTATTTTTGTATATATTCATTATTTTAAAGTTTAACGGTATATAGTTTTACCAAATATTGCATTCAGAACTTAATTACAGTAATTACGTGTATGTAGGGTAAAAGTATATAAAGAAACAATATTTAAATTATAGCTAATTAAATATGCACTTAGCACATAATTATAGAGATTATATTGTATTCAAAACAGTAACCTTTTTGAGCTAATGAATCAATCAAATACACGCAAAGAAATATTAACCGAAGATTACCACAAGGTTTCCGTGTCTGTATATACATACATACATATATATATATATATATATATATATATATATATATATATATATATATATATATATATATATATATATATATATATATATATATATATATATATATATATATATATATATATATATATATATATATATATATATATATATACAGTGTGTAAAAGCCAAATGGAATAAATTCATTATTTAGGTTACTGTACATATTTATAAAAAATCCCGAAACACGTCAAATTTAAATTATAACTTGACATTCTTTAACGTGAAAATGCAACCCCTACAATCAAAATGCAATCAAAAACTAAAATGTAATGCAAAACGTAATAAAATGTAGAACACGAAAAACAACTATGAATGTTAATGAAGTAGATGTTCAAAATGTTCACCGCGAACGTCTTGGCAACATCCTAATCTCAAATAAAACTGTCTTCTAACATTATTTAACATAACAGGCGTGATCGACCTAATCGCAAGCATTATTCGTTCTTTTAAGTCATTTAAATCAGAAGGTTTGGTTTTGTACACATGGCTCTTCACATATCTCCATAAAAAGAAATCTAATAATGTAAGATCAGGTGATCGCGCTGGCCATTCAATCGATCCTCGCCTCCCTATCCACCGATTGGGAAATATTGTATCGAGGTACTGCCGGACATTAAGTTGGTAATGTGGTGGTGCTCCATCCTGCTGAAACCATATCGTATTCGCTGGAACTTGAGGATTTCCTGGAGCAGGATATAAATTTGCCAACGTTGGAATGACATCATTTTGAAGTAGTGCCAAATAATTGTTGCCATTCAAGTTGCCCTCAATGAAAAAGGGACCAATTATATTGTTTCCTACAATCCCTGCCCAAACATTAACCTTTTGAGGGTATTGAGTGTGTTCTTCTCTCATCTAGTGAGGATTTTCCGTGGCCCAGTAGCGGCAATTTTGCCGATTAGCATGACTGTTAAGTGAAAAAGTACACTCTTAACACTCAAGTCACTCCCCTAGACACTCAAGTACACTCAAGTCTTAATCTGGCTACTCCCCTAACTCGTGACGTACTAGTATCGTGTTCTGTAGAAATACAAGAACCGTCAAACGACACTGAGGTCTCCATCTACCTACTCCTCAGTTTCGAGTGAGGAGTAGTTGATTTTCCTAACAAAACTCATTGTTTTTGTGACCTTAATATCGCGCCCTTAACACGCGTTTTATTATGGGATCACTAACAGGAGAATTTTATTGTCATCATTGGATGTGGTTCTCTTTCTATGATTTCTATGATGAGTATTCTTTTGTTAAAGTCGTCTTAGAAACGCAACGTATTTAACGTTATCTACTTTAAAATGTATAATATGTGTCTGAACTGAATGTACGAACAAGAGTATTTTTTTTACCAAGTAACAAAAACAAAATTTGTTTAATTTGTTATCGTTTTGTATTTTGAGAACAATTTCGCCAAATAAACTTATTTTAAAGGACAATTGTTGCTTATTCCCAATAAAAATAATAATTTGCATTAAGATACTACAAGAAAATAGCTATAGAACTATGTTGTAATACATAATTATATTTTCAGGTTTTGCTCCTAGTACCTATTACATTTATATTGGGAGAATGCTCCGTAGATGAGAAGAATCTAAATGCGTCATCGGTTAATAAAAGAAGCATTCCAGGCCTACTTTCGGGAGAATATCAATCACAAGCCACTGGCCTTTCTGCTGAAGAATGGATTAGTGACGGTGATAAAAATCTAGATGAGTTTGGTCCCTGGTCATCAAATACAGACTGGAAGGGACTATCACAAGAATGGCATCCATCTTTACCGCCAATAGAAGAAGACAAATATATTACCATTTATAAAGAAAAAAGAGTACCTGTATTAGTAGAAAAAAATGTTCCAGTTCCCGTAATAAAAAATGTCCCAGTTCCGGTTCCAGTAAAAGTACTAGAACCATATCCTGTGGAAAAGATAATACCATATCCAGTTAAAGTACAACACAAAGTACCGATAATAATACACAAACCCGTCAAAGTTGAGAAAATAGTTAAAGTGCCAATAGAAGTCAAAGTTGACGCTCCTTATCCAGTAGAAGTCAAGGAACCAGTTCCAGTGCCGGTGTACAAGACAGTTGGAGTGCCAACACCTGTAAAGGTACCACAACCCTATCCTGTATTTAAAAACGTACCAGTGCCAGTAAAGGTGCATGTTAGAGTACCAAAACCATATCCAATTCACAAAATAGTACCAGTTCCTATGAAGGTAACTGTAGACAGACCAGTAGCAGTACCGATAATCAAACCATATCCTGTTGCTGTTGAGCAAAAGGTTTCCGTCCCAGTTCCAGTTGAAAAGCCGTACCCAGTCAAAGTATTTGTAGAAAGACCCGTTCCCGTTAAAATTGAAAAGGAGGTTCAAGTGCCTGTACACGTAGCAGATCCCCAACCGTATCCAGTCGAAAGAATAATAAAGGTCCCGGTGGAAAAGGAAGTACCTTACCCTGTCGAAGTTAAAATTGAACGACCTGTACCGTATGAGGTAATTAAACGGGTGCCCTACATTGTGTTTAAGAAAGTATCCGTTCCGGAGGAGAAAATTTTAGCAGTACCTATTAAAAGCAATGAAAAATGGGATACGGACCAGACTTATAAATATTCTCAATGGTAATAAAAATAAATAGGTAATATATTGGTCAAGTTATTTCGTGTTATCTGCACGCTAAGGATTGATAACAAATTAATTTCCTTAATTCATAACAAATTTCCTATTTTTTCGTTATGACTAACAATATATATTTTGCTTGTATGAGGTTGAAAGGGGGAACTGAACAATTACTAGGCTGAAGATAGGGTAAGTAAACACATTGAAACGTTTGCGAACTGCTAATCGTCAACTGAATGCGCGCTTTTTGTTGAAGAACTGGGTAGTGAATAAGGATTATTTTTTGAGGTACTGTGAGAGCTAACTACAATAATAGAAATAAAAAAAACACTTACAGAGATGTCCTGGGAAAACTACACAAGAAGATTCCGAAACTATTTAAAATGGGCGCCGTTTAAAAAAATCCTTTTGTTGTTTAGAAAGAAAGGCAAAAAATTTAAATGTGAAGATCTTTTTAAAAGAAATAATTTTAAACTCCTGGTTTAAAGAGAAACATTCCATATTTATTTTTATTTCACATAAACAGTTATTAAAAATAAAATTATCCAAATTTATCAACAAACCCTACATTGAGTTTAACCGTTTAACAGAACAGAATTTAAGCTGTGTTTATCAACAATTGTTACATTGAACCTTCTAGCAAAACAAACTTTAGAATTTTGGTTCTGTACCAAATGACAGAAAAGGATAATACTGACTGTCATATGTCGAAATGAAATATCAAACTTTTCTGAATTATTAATTAATTATCAAGGGTAACTCTATTTAAAAGAAAAATAAAATATGACAATTAGCTGACCAATAAAATATATATTTATTTATAACTTTAATTTGTCAATAAGCAAATCTTAGTATATTAAGGCGGAATGTTTATTTTATTTAGAAAAATTTAACAAAACTACTTTGCTAAGATATTTTGTTAGTGGTAAGTAAAAAAAAACACTGCCCGACACAAACTTCAAACGATCTGGATTCGACCCCTAGGAGAAAAAAATGAAATCTAGACAAATCTTGAAAGGTCAAACATCGAATTGGACTTCAGGTTATCCTGATGATAACAATATGTATTCTTTAAAACTCAGCTGCTTAATTTTCACTTATTATATCCATGTGGGCCTCACTTAGCCCTCAGACACGCTGTTTATCAAATCGCGTGACATGGAATACAGCAACTAACCGGTGATTATTTCGCTTCACAAAGACTGCCAAATATCATTTGAGCCTAATCATCTTCCTTTTAACCAAAACTCATTCGAATTAAACCAAATTTTGCCGGTTTTTAAAACTACCACTGAAAAGATCCTTTCCTGTTCAGACCCCAAGTCGTTTTCTAACTACTACACTTTACAAATATTGAATTCCCGATGTTACAAAATTCTTCATGACTTAAACAATGACATCGACTGCTTTCCATGCCAATTCATCGACGAGTGATCTTATCACCCAATATCATTCTCTTGTCATCATACACTTTCCCACAAACTGAAGTGGAAAGATTCATATTTATTTCCAGGGCAAATATCCATGCAGAATCAATATCAAAAGAAAAAGCTATTTGTGTATATATAAGTATTTATACAGACTAAAAATGTTTATATTATCAATCTCAGAGACGCAAAAAGATTTAGAATATTTTTCGGTGTTTTTATATATACGTGGTGAAACGAAAATGCTACATGACGATAATCTGCCCCTCTTTATCATAATATGGCATATCCAATTTCAAGCGCAGGCAACATTTTTCTACCTTTTACAAATCTGATCTGTTCAATGTTCTATGATTTTTGTTTCTTAATATTGTTCTGAAGCTATTTTCTTATGGCATTATAAAGTAATTACTATTTAAATGGGAATAAGCCACAATTAAAGGTTAAAGTAAGTTTATTGATGTTTCAATTTCCACTACGGAAATCGTTTTCATAATACTAATATGTATTTGTATTGTCCAAAACAAACTTATAAAACGTGAAATTAGAAAATTTATAGATTAAGGCACATTCGTAATGTAAAGAAAAAAAAACAAATTAAAAAAGAAGCAAAGGTATAGTTTATAGTATTTTAAAGTAGCCCGTCCATTTCTCCGAGTTGAACGAATTCAAACTCCATATTTTGAAGCTCTGTAGACGGCTCTGTTCAAAGACAATATTTTTCAAACTTTGTCCTAACATCTTGCATAAATCACATATTTCGCCTTAAGTTTGATGACAATTCTTCCAATAAATCAATAAAATTATTTTATAAAAAAAAGTAAATAAATCTCACCATTCAAATTACAAGGCAATTCGCATGTCCGTAAAAAATATTTACCAATGGTTCCAAACCATACCTGTATTTAAAATTCATGTTTAAAATGCAAATCGTATGATTTGGTACCATTTGTAATTATTTTTTGCGGGCATGCGAATTACCTTGTAATTTAAATGATGGGATTTATTTCCTTTTTTTATAAAATGATTTTATTGATTTATTGGAAGAATTGTAATCAAACTTAAGGCGAAATATGTGGTTTATCCAAGATGGTACACCACAACATTATAGAGAGGGCAGTGACTACATAATTAAATACAACTTTCCTGAACGTTGGAGTGTTCGTGGTAGTCATGTTCTTTGGTCATGTGCTGAGATATTAATATAATTATTTAATTCATAAAAATCCCGAACAAATACTTTATTATTATATTATATTTATTATGTATTATACTTATAATACTTATTATAAATACTGCAGCAGTTTCTTTAGAACCAATGATGCTATTTTATAGGAGACGATCTTTTATGGAATGTATTGACAAATGAATTAAAGAAAATGGTGGACATATCGAACACTTACTTTAACAAAAAGTTTAATATTTTTTTAGTTTAACTATTTCTTAATTTGGTTTATAAACAAAATATTTTGATTATGACTTTAATTTAATACAATACGTAAAATATTTGATGTAAAATCCAATCATTCTGTTATTTTGTCAAATCCTATTGCAAATTATCCTGCTGATATATTTATTTTATTTAATATTTCGTTATATATTAACTTTATTAAAGGCATTTTATACCAAAATTCAGAAGTATTGATGTTTTTTCTTTCGTTGCCTGGAGTAATTGCAATAAATCTGAATTATGTAGTTGATTTGTAAAATGCGATTATCTCGAAAACTATTGAGTTTTAAAGTTATTAATAGGTATACCTTTTTTTTGTTAAAATAATGTATCTTTAATGTTTTTTATCACAAACACCGGTAACTCAAATAGCAAAAAAGTTAAGTGCAAATGTGTGCCATATATGTGGCGCCCCCTATGAGCTACGATGAAGTATGCATCAAATTATAATTTCTGATGTTTACTAGTTCCCAGTTATCAATTTTTATATCTAAATGTCCACAAACATGAAAGTAATAGCGAAAATTAAAAGTTTAAATTTCCACTTTGACACCCTGTATCTTTCTTAGTATCAACATTTTATTACAGCAATTTAGCTTAAATCCTAATATTTTAAAGTGTAGAATCCACGGTTTCTTTTTGTACAATTACTTAAGGACCACCCTGTATATAAAAATACTTTAGTTGCTTGTACCGTTCCCGTCATAAAAAACTGGTAAAACTCTTATAACCGAAAATCGTGTTTTTCAAGTTGTGTAAGTTGAGTTCAAGTTGAGCTTGTCACATGTGTCATTCTAATTTCGATGGCAACGTTGCCATTTCAACGAAAATATTATATCAAACCAGCTAAAAGCAGGGCTGTGCGACAGGTCACAAGTTTTTAGTATACTAAAAACTAAAACAATATCGAGCATTCTCAATCTGTCAGTCACATTTATATTTATACATTTATTTAAACATACGAGTACATCTTAAAAAATTCTATTTTTAATATTTCTAAAAAATTTTGAAATTTTCCATTATCTCAGTACTCATGCATTGATTCGTGTTTTATTATAATGTATGAAAATATTTCAATTTAAAAATAATGATTGATAATAAATCTAGACATGACTTTAAATTTATGTTTAATTTCAAATGGACAGGTGTGATTGGTTTCTCGTAAAGTGTAGCACAAAACTGTATTGAGTTGTGGAATACTACAGTAAATAAAACCCACTGGAAAAAATTAAAATTTAATTTGAAATTAATAAAAAATGAATAATTTTTACAGTGAACAAGTGTAGGATTTAAATATATGTAATACAATTCCAAAAGTTAATATTTTAAAATAGCTCCATTATTGTTAATCACTTGTTGTAATCCTCTGGGAACTGAGTTAATTAAATTTATTGACAAATTTTCATCTTCGGCCAAGCTTTCCCAGATTTCTTCAATAATGATCCATAAATGATCTCTGTTTTGGGGAACTACATGTAATGTTTGTATTTTCTTGATCATAAGTCCCCAAACGTTCTCTATTGGATTAATATCTGGAGTTTTAGAGAGCCATGGAAGCGTTTTAATGCTATTTTGAGACGTACACGGTGGGCTGTATGGATTGAACAGTTATCATGCTGGAAAATAAAAGTATTGTTGGGGAAAATTTCCCTAACCGATGGCAACATCACATTATCTAATATATGTAAATAGGTTTCATACATTCCTAAACCTCCTATATATATCCAAGCCAATCCATTTATAGAGAACCGTCCAGACTTATCACTTGATAAAATATAGTTTTCGTTAAGCCTATTTCGAGGCGGTCTATAAACCCTAATATGGCCATAATAATGAGACTGGAATACTTTTTCATCAGTAAAAATTACACGGTCCCAAAAATTGACTGGATCATTTAAAACGTAATTTAAAGCAAATAGGAATCTACTTTGTTTATGTTCCTCGCTAAATTTGTATTTTCGGGCGGGTGCACAATTTTTTAAATCTATTCTTCTAATTCTCCTTAATGCTATAGTTATAGAAGCATTAAAGTTTGTAATAACTTTTGCTTGCCTTTTCGTATAGAAGGGATACGCTCTTAAATAATTAATTAATGTTTCATTTTGTTGGGTCCTACTGGTCTGCTCGTT